CCGGGAGATCTGCCAGCGCCTCTTCAACACCCTGCAGCTGTAAGGGTCACCCCGGCCCCTGCCCTCACACCCTCCTCACCTTCCTCCTCCTCCTCCTACTCCTCTTCCTCTCGCAGGGACGAGGGCCGGGCCCAGCGCTGCAGCCAGGTGCTGCTGGACGCCCCCATCCAGCTGTCCCAGATCACCGATGGATATGGTGAGTGGTGCCCATGGGGGACCCCCACCCACGCGTGTCGCCCCCGGGGCTCTCGCCCTGCCACCAGGGTGCCAGCAGCGAGGACGGGCTCGGGGCATTGAGTGTATGTGTGCCTGACCTTGGGGAGCAGTTCCCCCCACCCCTGTGCACATCAGGCTCCCCCTCACAGCGCACCCCTCTTTCTCATCCTGCTGCTGAGCTGGTGCCAGCAGCAGCTGGCTACCCGCAGGGTAAGCTGGGCTGGACGGAGAGTGCGGGGGTGGTGCCAGCAGCAGCTGGCTACCCGCAGGGTAAGCTGGGCTGGACGGAGAGGAGCCACCCTTTGGTCCCCTCATCCTCTTTGGAGAGGGAACAGTCCTGCCTGGTCATGGGCAGCTGTTAAGGCAGAACTTTGTGGAGCCTTCCTGGAGCACCTGCTCACCAACCCAACCATCTTGTTGCAGCAGATGCCAGCGTGGACCTGCTGCCAGGGCTGTTGCTGAAGAGAGGCCAGACCTCGGTGAGTCAAGGGGCCGTGCCCTCGTTTGTAAGCCAGCAGACCCAGCGGGAGCAACTAACGCATGGGGCTGCAGGTGCCCTGCCCTACTCTGGTCACCTCGCCCTTGGAGAGCAGCTGGAACAGGCACCTGTCCTGATTAGAGACACAGCTGCAGGGGGTACTGCTCCTCCTTGTCAGGTTCACTGTAATTTAGGAAACTCTTGACCCTGGTCTGGTAAAAAGGCTTAACAGGAGTTAATGGCTTATTAATTTGACAAGATTTATTTTGCTGTAATTTCTTAATGAGCTTCAAGGCGTGGTTGATGCAGTGGTGGTGCTCAAAGTGCAGCTTCTCTGACTTTCACAAGGACCTTTGGCTTCTACAGCAAGGTCTTTGATTGAGAAAATAAGATGGACCGCGATGACATCTTGCTGTATTCAATGAGAGAGAAAATCCTGGCTAATGGTTACGTGTTGGGATGTTACAGGTGGGGAGTTAGCAGGGAGCAGCTGTTTTCCGGAGAGCTGCTGCAGGGAGCTTGTAAGCCCAGCTTTAGAAATGGCTGTGGGTTGTCATGGTTTGAGAAATAAAAGCAGGAGCAGAGAAGTTTGGAAAGATTTCCTGGAGGAAACTGGAACATCTTTACCAATGAAATGTGTGGTGCTCAGGTGTGACCTGGCTTGCCCTCTGCGTTGGATGTGCCAAAGTTTGAGTGTGGGTGAGATGCGGTTGTGCATCTGCAAAGCAAGGACAGTGGTAGCAGTACAGGCTGGGCCCTCCGTCTCCCAGGCTGGTCTTTTGTAGAACTCTCATTTCTTGGGGTAACAAGTTGAGGACGAGAATCCCTCGCTTGGAGGCTGAGACCTAACGTGATCCCTGCGTGTCTGAATGGGAGTCTTAAGCGAAAGCTGGCAGCTGTTGCTAGTTTTGGCACCAGAGTTGTTGCTGCTGGGTTCACTCTCTGGCTCTCATGTCCACAACTCAAAAAGGATCTTCAGAAAAATTGGAGACCATTCAGAGAGGGCCTCGGGAGGCCTCTCAAGTTTTGGAGAATATTTATTGCTGGGAGATTCAGGAAGCTCGGTACAGTTTACAGAGTGACTCAATCTGTCTGTAGCTGTGGGGTCACAGCTCCAGTAACAAGATGCTCTTCAGTCTACCATGCAGGTCTGTAACATGCTCCGGCGGTTGCAGAGTTGCCTAGAAATATCTAGGAGTGTTCTTGGTCAGCCACAAATATTTGACTTGACGCAGGAATAAGCCGGAGCGGGCCGAGAGCCTGGCCAAGACCACAGGCCAGGTTAAAACACTTGGCTCCTTCTTGCCTTCAGGTTTAATTAAATGTATTTTGTCTCTGTCGTGATTGATCCACTGTGTAACCTGAGTTTGTTCCAAACTGGTTAAAGTTTAACGTGTTGGGAAGGGAAACACCTCATGGTCCACGGCGAGGGTGGGTGCGGGGTGTAGCAGAGGAGGCAGTGGGATAGCAGGTTGCTGCTGTTGAAGTGACCTGGCTGACCCAGGTCCCTGGAACTACAGAAGCAGGCCGTACGTTAGCGTCAGCCAAACCCTTTGCCTTGCTGAGGCGGAACTGTTGTGTATGAGCAGATGATTTAGGACTTCATTCCTGAAGTGAGTTCCTGGCCTGATTAGCTTCCTCAAAATGCGCTTCAATCTGTCCCGGTTCCCTTGTCCCACCTCGCTCCTGCCCTCCCTCCCTTCCTTCCAAGTGCGAGGGGTTGATTGATCTCTTTTCTCCTGGAGTTGGGCTTTTGGGGCTTTTGCTGAAGATGCTCTATCTTCTTTAAATGCTCTTTTGTGCCCCAGATGGTGAATGCCAGGAAACTGGAGAAGGCGGAAGCCAGGCTGAAAGCCAAGCAGGACAAGAGGATGGAGCGGGATTCCCTGAAGTCATCTGGCCCTCTGTGAGTATGGAGGATGCTTTGAACATCCCCATCCCGTTCTGCTGAGTGTGGCTGGGATCTGGTTGTACCAGAGCATTCCTGTTGAACCCCTTGCTCTGTCTTCTGCCTGCCCGCAGGGTCCTTGAGGAGGCATCTGCCAGCCAAGCTGCCAGCAAGAAGGAGACTCGCATGGAGTCATCAGGCAAGAACAAGTCGTATGATGTGCGCATCGAGAACTTCGATGTGTCCTTCGGTGAGCGGTGAGTGCAGATGGGGAGGTGGGCCAGATCCTGGCTGGGGTTTCGGACCATGGGGGATTGAGGGTGGTTGAGAAATTACAGAGGGTATGGGAAAGATCAGAAAGCAAGGTGGGCACCTGACACTGCTGGGTTTGGGCCGGAGAAGTCTGGTGGTTGCTTGGTCCAGTACAGCCTGAAACATGCTGAGGGCAGGTGGCTGCTGGTTATCTCCCTCTCCATGGGGCAGCCTGACCAGGTACCTGTCTGTTCTCCTGCTTTAGTGTCCTACTGGCAGGAGCAGACCTGAACCTGGCATTTGGACGGCGCTACGGGCTGGTGGGCAGGAATGGACTGGGGAAGACCACGCTGCTGAAGATGATCGCCAGCCGGAGCCTGCGCATCCCCTCGCACATCAGCATCCTCCACGTGGAGCAGGAGGTGGCGGGAGATGAGACACTGGCGCTGCAGAGTGTGCTGGAGTGCGACACCACTCGTGAGAGCCTGCTGCGGGAGGAGAGGGATCTGACGGCAAAGGTTAATGCTGGCAGGTGGGATGTTGCCACTGGGTTTCCAGCCCTTCTATGGTCTCTTGGCCATGAGGTCTCATTCTGAGGTCTCTCCCTTCAAACGAAGGGCTCTGGCAGGGCTGGGCTGTGTCTTGCCCACCTTAGTCCTGCTTGGGGAGATCACCCTGACCCTGGTCAGTCCCACACTCCTCTTTGTACTGCCTCAGGGGAGAAGGGACAGAAGGTGCCAGGCTATCGGAGATCTACGCGAAGCTGGAGGAGATTGAGGCAGACAAGGCCCCGGCAAGGTGAGACAGCCCTGGGCACCGCTTTCTGTTGGCGTGGCCAGAGTTGGGCAGTGGTTTGGGGCGTGGAAGAGTGATGCTGTGGTGCTGGGATCCAGCATGTGGAACAGGGGGCTCTCCCCACTGCTCTTCTTGTCTCTTCTTCTGTCACAGCTCTGCTGGGTTAGGAGTAGTCGAGCTTCACCCTGAAGCTGGAGGGATTTTTTTTTTTGCCCCAAATGGCTTGCATTGTTGCTGCTGCTCCTCTCGAACCTCTCAGGTTCCTGGTGTCTGAGGAACATTTCTGGGATGTTGGTGGTAGTGACTCTGTTCCTGGCCAAAGAGCTGAAAACTTCTTGCAAGTCTCCTGGGACTTCATGTGGATGCTGTGCCCTGCTGGGCTGCGTTTCCCAGCCAAGCACTGCTCTTGGGTGTGCAGGGAAGTTTTCCTGACACAGAATGGCTTTAAACCGTGCAGCAGAGTCCCCTTGGTGGCGGTGGGTCCGAGACCTCAGACTGTGCTCTGCTGTTGGACGCTGTAGCTGGATCCCAGTTCTCTCCCCTTTTCCCCAGGGCATCCGTCATTCTTGCTGGGCTGGGCTTTAATGCCAAGATGCAACAACAGACAACCAAGTAAGTCTCCAAGCTCTGGGCATCAAGACAGAAATGGGTCTGGGAAGACGTTGTTCCTAGCGAGCCCTCAGGCACTGCTGTGGCTGTAAGGGAGGGGAGGCCTGTGGGAGAGTGAGGGTCTATTCCTTCCCATCTGATGTGGTCTCCTGCCCTGGGGGTGCTAAGCCACCTGCCTGCTGGACCACAGATCTTGTGCTGTGCCCAAGATCTCTGCAGGGACAAGCTACCTCTGGCTGACAGCAGTGCCCAAAGGGTTGCGGGGAGCAGGAAGCCTGTCAGGCAGGCAAACGCAGTGTTTTTCTGCATTAAACAGTAACCCCTCTCTGCAACCTCTTCTCTCCTCAGAGAGTTTTCTGGAGGCTGGAGAATGAGACTGGCGTTAGCCAGAGCCCTCTTTGCCAGGTTGGTGTCCAGGCCTTTGTGCTAGGGGGTTAACCCCTCTTGCTGTCCATGCTGCGAGGTGCAGGCATGCTGCCTGAGGGTCCTCTTGACTCAGACTCTCGGGATGGAGAGCATTGGAGGCATTGCAGCTCTGTGTGCGTGGTGAAATGCGCTCTGCACTGACCCTATGCTCTTTTTGCTTCTGATTCCCGTGTCTCATTTTTCCTAGGCCAGATCTCCTTCTGCTGGATGGTAAGTTGATACTGCAAGTCCCTTTCGACACCACTGCTGGGCCTGGCCTTGCTGAGGTTGGGAACGTGCCGTGGCCTTTAGCTACCTGCTGAAAATAGCCCTGCATGACGGGGCTGGACTGACAGGGCTGTCGGTGCTCCCCTGGCACAGCGGGCAGAGCTGGCGGTGGTGCGGGGAAGTCTGCTTGGGCGGCTGCTTTCGCTGCACTCAGCAGAGCTCTGCCCTGTGCCCCAGCCGGGTGGTCTGTGTGTCATCTTGCCCCAAGCAGTCCCTTTCCCTCACCTGTGATGGGATGTGTGATGTGCCCTGGCTGCCAGCCCGTGCCAGGGGGAGTCCCTTCACTGCAGCGGGCAACCCTGGGGCTAGGAGGTGCCCACCTTGCCACAGGTGGGGTCTGGGCAAGATGCTGCTGCTGGGCATCAGTGTCTGGGTACTGGTATGGAGTGGGGGAGTGTTCCTGGCTAAGCCTTGGCCTCCCTGCCCCCACCCCATCACACCCTACATGCGTGAGTCCCCTGAGCTGGGGAGGGGAAGGTCCCCACACGGGGTCTCTTCCTCCACAACACTGATCTCTAGCTTTTCCTGTGTAAAAAAGTGTAATCCAGCCATCCTTGTCCCTCCTGACCTCAGTGCCTCTTTCTCCTCCCTCAGAGCCAACGAACATGCTGGACGTGAGGGCCATTTTGTGGCTGGAGACCTACCTGCAGGTAGTGGGTGGTGGGAGGCCCTGAGACAGAGCAAGGGTGAGGGATGGAGACGTCCTGCAGGCTGGCATCTCACCTCGCTGGGTGGTGGGACCAAGCCCTGCCCTCTGGAATGATGATACTCAGGCCTCCCTCTCGCTGTCTCCTCCAGACCTGGCAGTCGACCATCCTCGTGGTGTCCCACGACAGGAACTTCCTGAATGCGGTGGCCACGGACATCATCCACCTGCACTCGCAGCGGCTGGACACATACCGCGGGGACTTTGAGAACTTCATGAAGATCAAGGAGGAGCGGCTGAAGAACCAGCAGCGAGAGTATGAAGCCCAGCAGCAGTACCGCGAGCATATCCAGGTACTGGGAGAAGCCGGTAGTGCTGGGGCACTTTTCTCCCAGCCTTGTCCCTTTCTTCATGCTTCTAAGACCTGTGGATGTGGCTGTATTGTTGCAGGAGGTTTTGCAGCCGAGCAGGGTGGCTGGGGCTGAAGGGGATGTAGGGCTCTCTGGTGCTTTTCTCTATTCTAGGTTTTCATTGACCGCTTTCGCTACAATGCCAACCGAGCGTCCCAAGTGCAGAGCAAGCTCAAGTTGTTGGAGAAGCTGTGAGTACCTGTGCTGCTCCTCTCTGGCGGTGGGGAAAGGGCAGTGCTTGTGGGAAGAAACAGAGGTTCCCAGGGTGCCTGAGAGATACGGGGGTGGTTTGAGCTTTGGGTGCTCTGTCTCTGGTCCAGGGGCTTTGGCTGGGATGAGATATCGTAGAGTTGAAGACTCAATCTGGGTTTGTGGTGTAGGAACAGACCCCCAGTGCAAGGCACCTTGGTTATGTGTCTCCTCTTCTTGCAGGCCAGAGCTGAAACCTGTGGACAAGGAGTCTGAGGTGATCATGAAGTAAGTGTCCCCTGAGCCCTTGCTTGGAGGGCACCTGGCTCCATTTCTGACGTGAGCTCCTCTTGGGTCCTGTCTCAGCTGGGACAACCACCCCTTCCTGCAGTTCAGCCTTGCTCTGACAGGGAGCCCAGACAGGCCCCCGCCTCCAGGCTGGGTTCCCTCCTGGGGCCAAGGCTGCAGATCTGTGTCCCCTTCTTGTGACCATCCTTTCCAGAGGCCCTGCATGGTAGGGAACCCTCCTTGCCACCTGGGGGGTTGCAGAGGTTGTCCCGGGGGCCTGGGAGGAGGGTCTCTGAAGTTCCTGGCCATCTCTCACCTCTTCCTGCCTTCCCAGGTTCCCTGATGGCTTTGAGAAGTTCTCCCCCCCCATCCTGCAGCTAGATGAAGTAGACTTCTATTACGACCCAAGTCACTACATCTTTCGTTCCCTCTCTGTCTCTGCTGACCTGGAGTCTCGCATCTGTGTGGTATGTGGGATTGCAGAATAATGGTGGCTACGAGGGACCTTGGGAGGTCCCTGCTCAACGCAGGGCTGGCTTTGATGTTAGGTCAGGTTGCTCAGGTCCTTGTCCATTTGAATTCTGGATATGTCCAGGGAGGACTCTTTCTCCCATCCCTCTGGGTCCCGTTGCAGCATTTGATCATCCTCATTTTGAGGAACATTGGAACATTTTTCCTACTACCAGTTAGAATTTGTGCTTGTTGCCCTTCATCCTTTTACCAAGTGCCTCTGAGAAGAGACTGGGTCCATCTTCTCTGTAACTCCCTGTTAGCTGACAACGGCAGCGTGTAGTGGGGGCTCCTGCTACATCGGATGGGGCAGCAGGGAGATGCTATGGGCTTGCAAATGAGGCTGGGACCAGATCATCCTTAGGCTGGAGAGGGAACATGTTCTAGTGCTGCTGCCTGTGCTGCTCATAAGTGATAGAAATGCAGCTTCCAGGTAGCTGGGGTCACTGGTTAAACTCATCCTGTCCCCCTCCACTGCATGATCATCCAAGAGAGCTGAAATTCCCTGATCACTGCCCACCTCTCTGAAGTACCTTCATGGGTTTCACGTTCTCCAATGCTGCTGCTGCTTCTCTAGGTTGGGGAAAACGGAGCTGGCAAGTCAACCATGCTAAAGATCTTAATGGGGGAGCTGGCACCTGTCAGAGGGATCAGACACGCTCACAGGTACCTGGTAGAAGGGGCTGGGGGACTGGGAGGAACGGTGCAGCTGGAGGGCTGCTGGGCTGTGCTTTGGTGTGATGGCTGCCCGAGTGACGGGGATGGGTCCTGCACAGCCATGCATATGCTCCCCTTCCTGTAGCTGCAGCTGCAAGCGCCATGGTTGCAGGGCCTGGTACCAGCTCCCGATCTCTCTTCTCATTCTGCAGAAACCTAAAGATCGGTTATTTCAGCCAGCACCATGTGGATCAACTGGATTTGAACATCAGTGCTCTAGAGTTACTGGCAAGAAAGTTCCCAGGTGAGCTTTGGAGATCCTGGGAGATCTGGGCTGTTGAGGTCTGTCTCCTTTGCCACACACGGAGCAGCATTGATTTGTTCTGTGGCCCTGGGCAGAAGGCTCTGTCACGGCAGTGCTTAAGGGACACCGCTTGTTCTGGGTTAAGTCCCCACCTCCAGCCCAGTTCAGGACGGCAGCCACGAGAAGGAGGGGTAG